GAAGTTATGCAAGTTAAATTACCTAAACTTTCTCCACCTCCATTTCCCCTTCTGTAAAATGAGAACTGTAGTACCTTCTCCAAGAGGAATCTGGAGAGCAGTAAGACTTAGTTTGAGTAATTCTGAGGTATTCATCTTGATGATTTATTTCTATCCAATAGTGTTTGTGTGGTTAAGAATTTTCTTAAGCCACAGTGCTTACTGTACCATTGATGGTGAATTAGAGGCTTGTGTTGAAGTCAGAATAGCTGGTGCATACTTCTAGCTCTTCATAAACTCTAATAATCATTTTACTTTTCTGTGCCTTAGGTTATTTCTTTAAATGAGCATAGAAAGTTCCATCAGAGCAGAGACCTTATCGGTCTTGTTCAGTATCCAGAACAGTACCTGGCACTTAATAGATGCTGGATCAATGTTGGCTCAGCAACTTGGGTAGATTACGAAAATACATCAGGCATGGATGTAATTTTGAGAAAGAATCATAAGTACTCTACAAAAATGACTGGCTTTTCTTGTTTAAGATTCCCAAAAAAGATAAGAAATTATCTCTTTGACATTTCTCTGCTGGGTTCTATGTATGAGATTTGGAGTCAGAAGATCTTGCCCGGAGTCATAGCTCCACCACTTCAGGCTTTTTAACTTCAAATAAGTAATTTAACCTCTAGGAGCTTCATTTCAATCATCAGCATTTGGGGTTTATCATTGATACTAGAGAGTATTTTTGAGAGATCCAAAGATCAGTGATATAACAAGCACTTGCAAACTTCCAAGTACGATGAGGTACAAAAGCACTAAGAAATGGTAACTTTTCATGTGCTATTTTGGAGGAATATATATTGTAAGAAACAAAATTAGATTCTTAATTCTCAAGTCTAAGGTAGTGAAGATGAAGCTGTATTAAACTCCAAATAAACTTGATCAAAATACAGGGAAAATTGGCACCTCTCTCTGTCTTTTATACATAGATGAGCAGAGCTGCACAAGAGAACTTCTCTCCATCCTCACACCAGCTCCTTTGAGTTGTCACAACTGGTTTCTTCTGAACCCGCCCCCAAAATGATTCCAGTATGAAGGAAGGCATGTGATGGCTAGAACTGCTTTGAGGAACTGGCCAGGGTCTCATCAGAGGTTACAGGATAGGGGGAAAAGAAACCCAAAACAGGAGAAATGAAAATTCTTTACATCCCCATCCCTGACCTTATATCCTTACATAAAATGCAGGGCTAGAAGCCAATTACTGTTTTGAGTTTTTCATTTGTAGGTCAAAATTTAAATTTATTATCTGTTTTTATACCTGATGGAGAAAAATCTTTCTCCAGACTCTCACTGTTTAGGGTTTGAGCAGATCTTCAACATACGTGTGTAGGGTGTGTGTGTGTATTCCTTTTTTGGTTATTTTTCTTTCAAATATGCTCAGGCAGCCTATATAATTTAGTTGTAGGATTAAATTGTCATATATCTTTGAATATAAATTTACAAACTTCTGGAACATACTCTTTTGGGGTATTTTCTTAATAAGTCAGTTATAGTACAGGAACTAATTTATTCTTGAAATTCAAGTTAGTAATACTACTGAGGAAAATTTGTGTTTAAGGAGAATCTCAGAAAGCTTGGGATAGCTAACCTCATTACCTATCAAGGTTTATTTATTTATTTTTTTTGGTCGTCATGTCACTTTAGACTTTTAAAAAAGTAACAGCTTTACTGAGATGTATTTCACATACTATCTAATTCATCCATTTAAAGTGTACAATGAGTAGAATGAGTTATGCTATATTAAAAAATTGTTCATCCAAATTCTAGAAAATTTTCATCACCTCCAGAGGAGACTCCATACCCATTAAGCTGCTACTCCTCATTTTTCTCCTCTTCCTAGCCCCTGGCAACCATTAATCTACTTTCTGTCTCTATGGATACGGCTATTCTGGATATTTCATATAAATGAAATCATATAGTATGTGGCCTTTTGTCTGGTGTCTTTCACTTTAACGTAATGTTTTCAGGGTCCATCATGTTGTAGCATGGATCAGTACTCCATGCCTTTTTTCTTTTT